AAAAAAAAAAAAAAAAAAAAAAAAAAAAAAAAAAATAGGGGTGAGGAATTGTAACTCACAATATCTTGGGGAGTAAAAATCCAATTGGTTCTATGAGTAGATGTCATGAAATAAGCCATAAGTAACTCTGCCGATTCTAATTTTGGTTTGGATGTTCTCAGTATAAATACGCTAGAGGAAACTGATGTTTCAAACCTAGGTCCCTTTTATACCGCACACTTTTGTTTTTTAGTTGTTCACACACCAACAACAACAAGGACAATGTAGTATAATCTCGGGTCCGGAGAGATCAGTATGTATGAATAACTTACCCTAGCCTGGTTAGAGGTTTTTTCCGACAGATCCTCAATTCTGTCTTTTCAAAAACTCAACACTTTATTTTTGGGATAAATCGATCTCACAACCTTATTTAAACACTATTTTGTTTTTAATTACATTTTCTTACACCAATAACATCATATGCTTAAGATCACAAGAACTTTAAGTGGGCCTCTGGACATAAGTATTGTAAAATTACAAAATATGGGCAAAAAAATTTTTAAGTAAAAATAGTATTTGAAATTTAGAATTGTGTTTGGATATGAATATAATTTTGGGTTGTTTTTGAAGTTTTGTAAGTTATTTGATTGAAAATTTTGAAAAATAGCTTTTTGGAGTTTTTTAAATTTTCAAAAATTTCCAAAATGCATATCTTCAAGTGAAGATTGGAATTTTTATGAACAAACGCTAATTTCGAAAAAAATAATTTTTTTTGGAAAAAAAGAAAAAAGAAATTGTGTCCAAACGGGCTCTAAATATATTTTTATTTTACTAGTTTCTCGATACGTGTGTTGCACGTATATATCGAGTCAGGAAGTACATGTCCAAAAATAATATCAACATTATTAAAATAAAGCTTTGACTAAATAATTATACATGAAATAATAAAGTAAAAAATTTTGTGAATACCACATAATCGGGAAAAAGTAATATAGTATCTCTTATTTGGTTTCAAATAAGGTCTTTCGCTTTTCGACATGATCGCTGAAAAGTGTTGCGTGAATTTTTTTTCCCTGTTAAAATTTTTTCATAATTGATGTCATTAATAAAAGACAATATAAATAAATAAAAAATATTAAAAATAAAAATAATATTAGCTCTTCATCAACTAATATTATAGGCCTCGAAGCACCTTTATGTCTTGGATTTTTGTAAATCTTGATGAATCTCTTGAATTTCTAATAGTTTTATCATCCAATCAGATGAATATATTTATAGCTTGTTCAATGGTACACCCTTCGTTGCTAATTCTACTACAGTGAGATGGTCAGGGGGAACAAATTAAGCAAAAGTAATATAATGGTAATAATATAAGATATGTAATATAATTTCTATTATGATTAACTTTTTTTTATATAAATAAACAGCAATTTAAAACAATAATTTGTTACAAGAGTACAAATAAATTTACATTGATTGTTGCAATAATAAATTTGTTCCAAACAAACGTCAAAGTTTGTTAAACAAACCTAACACTCTGCATACCTTATTTTTTGACAAGATTAATTGGATTGAGAGTTGCTTATTTCTTTTCCCAATAATCCATAAAACAAACACTGCAAAAAATGATGGGCATAAAGAGAAATCGTTACTAATCATTCATTATGCTATGCAAAAAGAGAATAATCACATCAACATATACATGGAACCGCTATCTTTTAGCTTTCTATCCAAAAAACGGTTGAAACACAAGAACTGTCAACTATTTTTTCGCGCATAAAAATATATACGTATATAGCTAGCATTGAAACACGAGAAAAGAATGAGTTTTTGTGAGAAAAAAAAAATACTTGAATAAAATAAACGAATAATGTTAAATAGGTGTAATAACTATACATGATTATTTTCAACCAAAAAAAAAAAAAAAAAAAAAAGAGTTTTTGAAAAAAAAAAAAAAAAAAAAAAAAAAAATCTATACATGATTATTGAGTACTAACCAGGTAACATCCAAAAGCAAATTAATATAGTACTATTTTTAATTTTCAATGAAAAGTTTTCTCTGTGCTAACCATGAACAAGACATGCACGGAATATCATATATCTTCATCCACCAACTGATTTTTTGCATCATCCGCGTGATTAAAAGCCTCTAAATCAAAGCCATAGTAGACGGCCATAATCCACATGTTGCGAAAAAATAATTTAATTATAGAAACACATCTTACACACACAACCATTAGTCTCAGGCTTGATAAGGAAGAATAAAGGCGAACATTTTGCAAATTTCGCTACTACATTACATGTAGAATTTTCTATTTGAAACCCACTAAAATAATGACGTAGAGGCAAACTTCTTAACCAGTATTGAAGCAGATGATAAAATGTCTAAAAGTTGCCAAAAATGATAGTAGAAGAACAAAAGAAGAGTAAATTGGACGAGGAAGTTTTAATTCAAAAGTTGGAGGAACTTTTGTGAAGGAGTGTATCCCTTCATACAACGATTAACGAATAACATTGAAGCGTGGTCTTTTAATGTCTCTAAGCGGCTGTTTTTTAAAACGCTATTTTTAAGAATAACATTCCCGAAATAATCCCTCTGTCCAAAAATTATGCATTTATAACAAATATTTACGTAATTCCAACTTATGTATTATTAAAAATAGCATGATAAAATACACATACGTATTTCTTTTAATTTTAACAACTCAGTACTTTATGCATATCAATATTACTATTTCATAGTATTTTCGTTATTATGATGGCAGCATATATAGCAAGGGGATACAAGATCGCTTCCAATGGGCTTCAGGAAATAAATTACAAGAACACCAGTCCTGACTAGTTACAATCTCAACGGTAGACCTTAAACCACGGTCTTCCTACCCAACCCTTTTGCGCCTATCCCTCGATTTAACGGGTTAACTGAAGACCACCGGTTATGTTTCCATAACCAGGGTTTACTGTTAAAATTAATAACTGCCTGGACTATATTGTTCTTAATTAACCTAGAGCACCATCGGGGTTGATACAATAAAAACTAATAACAAAGCATGCCAACAAAGTAGACTAGTATGGCTAAGTTTAACACACAAGTATTTAGCCTATCATTTAGACTAAATGAATAACTATAGTATATAAACTACAAGAACTGAAGAAGTACCTGAGACCGCCGAGTTCTGGTCAAGTAGCCTTTTCTGATTTTTTATTTCCAAAATAAAATTATTACAAAGGGAGATTCACAAGAGAGGTTTAGAGAGAGGGAGAGTTATGCTATTCTAGAGAGAAGTCAGAGCATTTGGCTAAAGCCTGCTTCTCTTAATGAATTCTAACTCCTTATATAACGGAGTGTCTAACTAAAAAATAAAAGAAATGGCCGACAAGATTGGCCGACAAAGAAAAGATAAAAAGTAATAGAAACAATCAACTTTTTAAAAAGTTGATTCCTTCAGACCCGCTGCTTTATTAAAGTATCTGGTTTCATTTACTTTATTAAAATTTTTTATCTTCATTACCCCAATAATTCATTGGTGGGGCCTTCAGTCTCTTTCATACTTTACTTTTTCCTTTGTTGGTTTTATCGAAAGATTCTTCCGCACTCCTTTGGAATTATTGAAGAAAATTTTCTACATCTTGAAGATTTACTTCAACGTTTTCTTCTTCCTAAGACTCTCCTGCTAAGACTCCCATGCTATTACTTCTTTAGTTTTCATGGTATGGCCTGTTGATGCTATTGAAATATCATCTGGAATTTCTATCTCCAGATTTTTTATTAAATCCTTTTTTACTTCCTGCATATAGGAAGCTAACATCTCTTATTTTGACATAGTGCCTTTCTTCATTTGAAGTTGTGTGGCTAATTGCTTAAAAGGACTTAAATCCTCTAAAGTCTTGATATTATTATTCTTTTGGATGTTGTATTCATCCATAGCTCTTTGGATATTATCCAGAATTTCTTGGTCATGTAGGCTCCCTTGTGGGTCTTTTGGATCCTTTTGAAGTAACTTAGTCCAGAATTTTGTATAAAAAATTCTATTTAAACATGAAAATTCTTCTGTAGTATGACTGACTTCTACATCCCATTTCATTATCCATGGGATAAAAAATTCTATGAAAAAATATGTTGTACCCATTCCTTGAAAGAAGATATCTTATTTTTGCAGACTAATTATTTTGGGAGATATGTCTACCCACTGAGTATATAAACTCTTAAACTGTTCTGGCAAAATTTTCAGGGATGAACCATATAATACCCACAAATTACAAAACCAACTAGGGATTTATTGTCCAAATATATTGGAACAAAATTTTAGGAAACAAGAATGCTTTTTGTTAGCATTTTCATATAAAAGGATTTTACTAAATCCTTTGACATAATCCCAATAATTGAATTTCATTGGAACTTTTTTCTCCGGATGGATATAATCCCTTCTTTAAAATTACTAATTCCCCATTCTTCTGGAACAATAATTTTCTTTGCTATAATTTTTGAGAAATTGTAAACCTTTTTGTTTTAGCAGAGTAGAAATGTTGAATTTCAACTAAAACAATTGACGCCAGGGCTAGCTCATAATGCATTCTATACTATATGAAAGTGTAGCTGTAACAATCCTGCCGGTCGTTTTGAGTATTATAATATTATTTCCCTATTTACTGCTCAATTTGTGCTTTACAATTGTTAAATGACTTGTCGGGGTAATTGGTTCGGGTTCGGTGAGGCTTTGGAATGAATTGGAGCACTTAGTTCCAAAGTTTAAAGTTTAAGTAGAAATAGTTGACTGGATATTGACTATGTGTAAACGACCCCGGAATAGAGTTTTGATAATTTCAATAGCTCTGAATTGTGATTTTAAAATTAGGAGCATGTCCGTAAAATTATTTAAAAGTCCATAGTTAAATTAAGCTTGAATTGGCTAAAGCGGAAATTTAAGTTTGGAAGTTTGATCAGAGAGTTGACTTTTTGATATCGGTGTCAGAATCCGATTCTGGTAATTAAAATACATCTGTTATGTTATTTATGACTCGTGTGCAAAATTTGAGGCCAATCGGACTTGATTTGCTAGGTTTCGGCATCGAATGTAGAAGTTAAATTTTTTTTAGTTTCATTATGCTTGAATTGGGGTATGATTCGTGGTTTTAGCATTGTTTGATGTGATTTGAGATTTCGAGTAAGTTCGTATGA